TTGAGCATGCACACGTTGTCTATTGTTCAGGAAAAGAAGTGCCTCTGCATCTGAAAATCAAAGCAGGAATCTAGCACCTTAAGCTTGTGAATATGGAGCAGGCTAAGGTCTGTTACATTATAGGTTAAAATTGCTAATTACTTACACATTTATTCAAATAAAAAATAGCTATCATGTCTGTCAGCAGCAGTGATGTAGATATAGATTGTTGAAAATGAAATCATTTGGTAATTAGTTGTGTCAGTGGTTGGTGATGGTGGTGACTTGGTTGTTGTGTGGCAGCAGTAACTTGGGTAGCATGTTGGAGGCAGTTGCAGCAGTGTATGCAATGTTTGATGGTACATTTGGGCAGTTGTGGTGTTGAGTGGGCAGTGATGGTAGCAGTAAAGGTGGATGAGGGAAGCCACCATGCTCTTGTGGTGTTGGTGGTGGAAGTGAGTATTCATTGGTTTATGGTGGTATTGAGTAGTGATAATAGTGCAATAGTTTTTTCTCAGGAATATTTGGGCCATTTCTCAATTCATGCATTTCATCCTTGAAATAGGTTATGGTAATCTTCTAGTCATTTCAGTTTGTGAGTATCTCGTTGGATTTCTTTCTCAGATAATATTAATAGCAGTGAGAATGTGATTCTGTCAATCCCTTGTTCAAATTAAGAGTTATTTTGTAGATCTCCAGGTTTAGTCAAAGTTTTCTATCCTGAGTGATGTATCGTTTTATGTGGTATTACCATGTCAGTTTCTATGTCAAGTTATCTATATGTCAATGCCTAGTTACAGTATACATCACTTAGGATGAGAAATTTGAGATAAGACTTGGAATGTGTGGCATTATTCTTTAACTAATCTTTTTCTGACCCTCTCTCACATGATGTCCAGAATTTCTTTGGACTTTTGCAAGAGAGAATGTTGTGATCTTGCTGATCTGATTACTGAAGTTGCTGACTCATTAAATCTTGAGCATTATAACTCTGCATTGAGTATATCATATCTTGGAGGCAATGGTGGGACTGACAATTGTAGGGAAACTTGATATATCTATTGTTTTTTTCAATTTTGTATATGGTATATATGTGTCCTTGTTTGCTTTTTTTATTTGCTTAGATTTGATTGTTGGATTTTAGTTAGATACATTATCCAGTGATTGGACCAAGAGCGCTACACAAGAAGGCCATTTGTTGTCGTAGTTTTTTTTTGTATTGGGTACTGAATCGTCTCCTTAAAGTAAATACACTACAGAGGGCAGCTCAGGTTGATGTGGTTTTACTCTATTTTTTTTTATTTTATAGGAAGCATTAAGGTTTGGCATGATACACAGATTGATAATTGTAATGCATAATTAGTTAGTGCTTTTTGGTCATTGTGTTGTTCAAATTTACTCTTGTTAGATTGGGTTGTACACATTCAAAACTTTTTCAATTGCATGCTTAACACAATAAATATCCTGTCTTCCCTGATTTAAACCCATTTGGAGATGAACAAACCCTAAGAAAAACCAAAACAAAACATATGAATTTTCTTTTCATTTACTCTTCTGATTGCATTCTTTTCGCTATGGAAAACTGACTTTCGCTAGACAATGTTCATTTGATCATTTGTCTTCTGTTTTTGCCATTTGATTTGTTCATTCTCCTTGATATATGTGTTGTTGCTAAAGAGAAACCAATATGATTTCACAGGTGGTTGCTAACTTCTTTTGTCACTTTCTCTTCAACAGGCATATTTAAATCTCAAAATTTCTGAGTGTTACTTATACTTGAAAGAAAGAGGACAAGCGATTATGGTACTTCCACAAAGTGATGTGTACTCATAAAATCAACAGTTCTGATGAAATTAGTTTCTCAGATGGACAACTTTGGAACTAACAGTATTGAGAAAACATTCCATTCTTTATAGAATCAGCTAGCTTATTGTTAACAGACATAAGACCATTTTATACAATGAATTTTATCATGTGTGGTAACCTTCTCACATGTCTCTTCTCTATGGATAGTGATATATTTGTGTCGCTATTTATATTGAATTGATCAACTCCCACGTGTGATGTGAAGGAATCTTCAATGTTTAACTAATGATGATTTCTTTTTATCCAGTTTCATGCTTATATGGTTAAGATAGTTTTATTATCTTGTTCATTAATCTAATTTAGACATGGTTAACTAACATTTCTGTTAGTGGCTGAGATCCTAAGCATCCCTTGTCTTATTTAAATTAACATTTAACACAACTGCTCCTGCATTCCTGGTGATTTGTTTTTTTGGCGTATCACATACCCTATCCTGAAACACTGGCAGGTGGTCCCTTCATTCAACATTTTTCCTCGTTGCAGGTTTTATGTAGTTCCCAGGTTGCTGTGAAAGAGTTTTGTACATGAGATGCAAATCGAAACGATTCATTTAAATTATACCCTCAGAAAGGCCTATTAATGTGCGAAAACTTCATGTTACAGGCTTGCTACATGTTGGGTTTTAATTCTGGTCATGAATTATGACCCCTGTGGGACTATATCTTTTTTCGTCTAATACTGTCAGTGAACATTTTCTTGATGGCATCTTTAATTTGATCTATGCAAGAATGTTCTTTTTCTATTGTGAAAGTTTGTCATGGATCACGGCTGAATCCTATACGTAAAATTGTTCTTGGGTGACTAATACTATGCTACCACAATGTAGATAATTCCTTGGAGTTGAACAAACTATATTCTGTTACTATGAATGGTTTTGTGTACTTTATGTTCTCATGCATTAGAGATTTAGGTGAATTTACTCTTTAGACTATGTTTATCGAATTAGTGCTTTTTCATTCTTTTCGGAATCTTCTGTTGACACTCTCATGAATGGGGAATTGTATGCATACTTGGCTAGTAGAATTTGAGATGATACAGTATATGATACAGATGCTGCAGTTTGGGGAGTATTCAATTTATCAATGATTTTAATGAATGAATTATTTGCATCTCCTAATTTATTCTAGTGAGGTATCTCTGATTTTTTTTATCTTATAGCTTGTTGACGATATTGGTTTTTGTCTGGTTTAAAGCTTAACAAGGACTACTCCAAAACTGTATCAGTGAATTGGCTTGACAGGAAATACTTTGGGTCCAAGTATCCGAAGGTTCCTAATACTTTGATGGTTACATGATGATCAATTAAATAATAATGTCACGTTATTTTGTTTATACATGTTTGTAAAAATGTGTTTATATATATAAACACGCTTTAAATTTAAAAAATAATAATCACTTCATTAATTAAAGTTCGGTTTGAAATTACTATAGCTTAACTTTACCCACTTTCTACTGTGATATGCTAGTGAGTCCAATACCTTAACACGAATTTTGTTCTGGGGGACCGAAGTATAATATAATAACGAAATATATTAAATAATATGCATCAAGGTCGAGTTTTTTCATAGGTTATTTTGATCACCTTTCAATTAGAAAGTGTTGAAGATAGTAACAGACAAATTGCTCAAAGAATGAGTCAAATCTCATCCAATAGGCCAACAATTAATCAATAGTGTTGAAATCTGTAGCTCAGCGGCTCTTCCTATTGAGATTCTTGTAAATGTAATTGTCAGTTTGGGATAATAAAAGTTTTTCTTACAGTATTGGCCCATTGGGCAGAAATTTGATTCCTACACTGAGAGTCATTACAATGTGTTGATATCAAAATCATATATCAATTAGGAGACAAGGATGTGATCGTTTATATAGTATAAAAATATATTTACTATCACATAGCCATATGGAGAGTTGCGGATTCAATTGAACCCACTCAACATTTTAAAAAAGTCTAAATGTTTTATGAATTTTATAATTTTGTCCCATTTAACTTGTTATTGACCCTATAAAATTGAATTATTAATTAACACTTTTTTAACTTTTCTCTCTGATTTATTTTCTTTCTTTTTCTCTCTATTATTTTTTTCATTTGGTTGAATACTCAAGAAATACTAATCTTTTGGATTACAAGAAAGATAATGCCCATTTTTTATTTATTTTTACTTAAAATTTTTTTCTTTTAGCTTTCTTAATTGATGAAAGATAATGAATTATGAATTTTTGTTGAGTTTAATAAAATGGGTTTAAAATTGAAAGATTAAATTCATAAATTTTGATGTGGGTTTTGATTTGATCTCGTTTGTGATGAGATATAAGTTAATTAGTTATTATTTTAATTTGGGTTTGATAAATTTTGATTAGTTATTAAGTTTAATTTTAATATTTTGGTTAATTACTTGATATTTAGAGCTAGACTAATGAGTTTTCATAGGTTTATGAGTTGAATTTTATTAGATTAATAGAAATTGTTTGAAAAACTTAAGTTCCAAGATTTGGGGTTTCGGTTTATCAACTTAGATGTTTTGATCTCACTAAATAAAAATCCTGGCTACGTCCCTACACCTAGAGGCACTTTTTCAGGACAAAATTGCATGGGCCCTAAAGTCCAAAGCGAACAATACCTCTAGGAACTCACCTAATATATGTCTGGATCCGACATACATCAATAGTTGGAACTTACTTGTTTTGTAAGGCAAACATAATAAAAGAATAGTGGTCGTAAGCTTGATTTAAAATTGTTTTTTATTTTTATTTAATTGTTCAATTCAATTTCTTGTTGATCCTTAAGAGGTCACGCTCACATCTTACTCAATCCCGTCAAGGCCGATTGAATATCTCTAGTTATTGCGAGTTTTTGTAACACAATATAATGTTTAATGTCATTCAATTTAAAATAATTATGCAAAATGAATAATTTCATTCAATCTTCCACAAGATTAATTACTTACAGGAAAGAATATTTAAGACAATATTCTCTTTTTTTATCGTCTAATCATGTAATAAATTATTTTATTAAATTATTTTCCAGTTTGGCATATATGTTTGGTTATGGTTTTAGAGTGCTGATTAATATTTTTCAAAATTGTTGGGGCACTTGGGATTTAATAGTAGGTAAGTTTTGCATTTTGTACCTGAGACTGAGACAGATGAACACCCAAATGCTTTTTCCTTATTAATGAGGAACTTTTGTAGCAAACTCAATACTGTAACTGGAATGAAACTTACTTTTAAATGATAATGCAACAACCTTTAAGCTTGACAGTGCAAAACAAATTCTGACATAATTATGCATAGGCTTCTGATTATAAACAACATGCCATGTTTTATCTAATAGAGGAGAACCGTCAAAATCCTGGATTTGGCTCTCTAAGGAAGGCATTGGTTAGAGCAGATTCAGACACAAACAAAGCCATCAATAGACATGAAGCCTGCCATCATAAAAATAATATCAGGTACGGATAAAATATGTAAATCTAAAACCTTACAACATAAAAATAATATAATTGTTACTTTAAAGCTAATTCATTGTTACTTTAAAGCTAATAGGACTTCTAATGCTCTTGGTAGTATGAGAAAAAAACCTTAAAATACATGTATGATAGTTTATATTGTTCGGTGCATGCTGGGTGAATTTCTGTGATTATATCACAGAATAATGCTTTGCAATAAGAAAATAAAAATGATATATATAGTTGGTCTCATCATACTCTATGGTTTCAAATAGTAACATTCTAGCAGGTTAGGCAAAATCAAAGAAAAGTTAAATCATAGGGGCTTGAATTTCGAAGAAATTCTTACAGGTTGTATGACAAAATCACCATGCGTTTCTATAAGAAGATGCCAAAATAGTAAAAAAATAAACTACTATCAGAAATCATGGGATGCTTTCTTAGAGTTTAATACTGAAATATTTATGTCAACTTACCTCCTCACTGCCCACATGCACAACACGCACCTCAATATCACTTAAAGGTAGTTTCAATTTCTTCAGAAGAGACAGACTTGAGATTTGAGATACGGGTGTGATGATCAAATTGTCGAATAAGGTAAACATTTTTGGTCCAGTCACAAATCCTCCATTTGTGGCTTCTTTAAAATGAGACTTAGGATCCTTGACGGTTAAAATTGAGCTTCTCCAAGAAGAAGGGATTTTACCATCAAGTGTCAGTTGAAATTGAGTTGGATAAGAATAATTATACTGCCAATATTCTCCATAAGAGTATGTTGGGTGCAAAGCTTCTTCAATGCCTAAAGGATGCTTCTCATAGCTAAAATCAGGGGCGAGCTTTGGACTGATGAGCATATCCTTGTGATCATTAGATTTCAAGTATTTCTCAACATCGAGTTCCTGAACACTATTGTAAAGGTGAGTTAAGGATCCTTTTGAAATGCTACTCTGCATTTCTTTTATAATATAACCAAGTGGAATCGTGAGAAAACTGCAGACTAAATCAACAAATTTTTCACTTGCTTCGGCATAACAAACCATATTCTTGGATTTGCTGATGATAAGCTTTACATGAATCCTCCCATCCACATTTGATTCTGATTCTTCTATTTTAGATTCAACATACATGTTCTGATCAAAATCTAATTTGTCATGAATATTCTCAGCCACATTTGATTCGGGTTCTTGTAATTTATATTCAACATAGATGTTCTGATCAAAATCTTCTTCGCCGAACTTTGGTGCTGAAATTTGTTTCAACAGAGTTTCTGTCAACGGTGTCTTTGACACTAGTGAGCACTTGAGCAAAGCGAGAACCTGAAAGAATGCATTAGGTTACGAACACAACCACAATTCAGCTATCTAAGAAATTGTGAAATTATTAATCATATTCAGAGAGCTAATATATTAAAAGATCATGGTAGATCAAATTCAGAAGCCCTACCATTTGCCAATTATAACTTTTGATTAGTTATCTTCTGACATTTTTAGCTTGAATGCAAACATTTTTTCCTCTCTTTTTTTTAATCCCCATCATTTACTTCTAAAAAAGCAAACTGCGATGAAGGTGAACTATTTCCAGGAGATGTTCATCATGAGTAAAAAATTGGTCTGATGAAGAAATAAATGTACCAAGTTCGATCATATAAATCCATTCTAACTAAAAATAAGTGCAGAATCTGATAAAATTATTAGATTTAGAATAAGAATTAAATAGTTACCTCATCTACTCCTATATCGATGTTGTGCTCCTCAATGGTGCTAAAGTCCATGTAACCTAGCTTGGATAATACAGACAGGCTTGCTTCTACTGATGAGGGCTTTACTTGTAATTCATCACTTATTATAAATTGGGTCAGTCCTTGAACAAACACTCCTCTATCTCGAGCATCAGAAACTGACTTCTGTATATTATCATTCTCTGACAACTCGATCGTCCTATTCATGAGCCCTCCACATTCGCAAACAGCATTAGGGTAGAGACTCAGTAACTTGTGCGTATTAAGGGTGCAATCCCTATTGCACAAGAAGTACCTCTGCAGCTCGCTATCGTCAATTTGCAATTTTAGTCTCTTGTTTTGAGGTGCAGCGCCGCTTTTGGGCCATAGCAACATGGTCTTGCATGCTTCATTCCGGAAACGCAGCATGTCAAGATTCTTAATGCTTTCATACAAATTGTTCATGCAACCTATTCCCACAGGTGGTGGTTGATTATTATTAGAAAGTAGCCTGATGATTGTTCCCATGGGCATTGTCAAGAAACTAAAGAGAACATCAGTAAAATCCTCATCTGTTTCCGCAAATATAACTCTATTGTTCTCTTTATCCACCAAGGCCTTCAAGCTAATTGCTTTTGCTTCTTCCTTAGCCATTGAGTATATGCTTTCAAATCTTGCTTTGTTCAAATATTGAATACAACCTGCAAAATCAATGGTTAATCAATTACTTATCTAAGCCTGAAACCTTGTGTTAATACACTTCAAGAATTTCTGAAATCTATGCAAAACTTCATTTTCTGGATAATAGCATATGTAATTATTGGATTTCGTAAACAAAATTTAATTGCAAAAAGTAGAACCCCAACAAATAGCCATTTTCTTGAAACAAGGAAAAGGATAAATTCATTCAAGCTGATCTACACAAGGTTGGAAGATTTACTAACTTATTCTTAGTCCAGAATGTTCACATACATATTGTTCATGAATCCGACTCACGAATAGAGACAAATAAGAATCCAAAAACGTATCATTTATAAGGACAATGGTTAACTCTAAAATGAAAGTATATAGATGACGGTTAGCATTACATCAAATTTAAGGACTTGTCCCATTAGAGTGAGTTGAGTATAGCTTTCTGTTACTGAACCCGAAATCCATTTCCGGATGGGATTGGAAATCCTATTCTCCTTTCCACTCTCGCCCGCTATTAATAATATATACATTAAGAAAAACATAAATCACTGAGCAAACTATTTTTTATACAAACTTTTACATGAACTTACTGAAATATGATGTGAAGTAATTGGTAAAGGAGTTCAATGGGCTATAAAAGCAGATCATCAGAAAAATAAAAACTAAAATGGAGATGGGGAACCCACAAGAAGATGGTGGAGATGTGTAATTTGATGATTAATTAAAGTTTACAAGTTGTAAAAATCTTCAATGTTTAGAGCTTTCTGGGATTGAAATAATATTGATTAAGACATTCTAAACACTGATGAATAAAAGCTAAGATTAAATAACCAATACAAGTCATAATTCTACAGAGAACAGCCCATATGGTCATGCTGCTAACTCTAGCTCAAATGCTCAAGAACTTAACAGTAGAAGTAATTGAAGAAAACATATATAGTACCTGCTGATCACCAAGCTACTGTTGCTGGAGAGAAGTTCGATGAAGGATTCAGAGAACAGAGAGTGGAGAAAATAAAGTAGAAGAGAAGTCTAAAGTAAGTAAAAAGGTACCTCCGTACATGTGTGGAACATTATCTTTAGCATCTTCTTTTTTAAAGGCAAAAATTCTTAAGGGAGAAGAAATGAACAATCCAGTCCTTGACCCGACTTTTGTTCTTCCTGTAACAGAGAAATATTATTCTAAGAGAAAATGGAATTAAGCTACCGGGAATATCTCATAAATTCTATTGTTGTTTCTGACAGTCAATTATATATTTACTGAAATTTAACTCGGTAAACTTTAGTAAGGTGTTGGACAGGTGTTTCTGACAGTCAATTATATATTTACTGAAATTTAACTCGGTAAACTTTAGTAAGGTGTTGGACAGGTGGAATATTGTGTGTTTGTGAGAGAGAAAGATGGTATACAATGCATCCTTTGGACAACCTTCTTTAAAGAATACTGAAATATCTTTGTCTAAGAGCTGCCTTGCGTCAATTTTAGAATCCCATATGGCGTTCAAATAGTCTATGCTTTAAGAGATGCCCCAATTACATGATGTCACCTGTTCTATCATGTCAAAACCTTTAAATGCCTCAATTGCATGATGTCATGTGTCCAATAATATTTCATCATGTCAAAATAAAATAATTACTTTTGGATACCCCAATTACATGATGCCATGTGTCCAACAATAATCAAGCTTGTAATTAGACTTTTGGATGACCGAATTACATGATGTGGCGTGTCCAACAACCTTCCTGTGTGTCAAAATAAAGGAAATCTAAAGCTTCAAAATGGTCATCATATAGCTTATGCCTAAGATTTAATAATATTTCACTATGTCAAGGCCTTTGGATGCCCCAATTACATGATAACACATGTTAAGACCTTTGGGTGCTCATGATGCCACACAAACCATTCATATTCACAAACCTTGCAAATTCACATAAATATATTGTGAATGAGATACAATGTATATGACCCTTTAAATTCACATAAATTTATTTCTATATAAAATGATAATATTTATAACAAACAACAATCAATAAGGTTATTAACATCTGTCATTAATGATAAACAATATTAAAAATCAATCATATGAAGCCACATATACTATATTTTTATCGAATTCAACTCGTTAAACTATGCCACATCATGACAAATAACATTTAGCTAAATGTCAAGAATCTAAATCAGCACCAATCAAATACAGTCAAGTGTTAGACAATTTGCCTATGTGGCAAAATAAAGGAATTCTACCTCTTCAAAATGGCAGTCATATAGCCTATACCTCATGATTATATATATATATATATATAATGTTACAAATTTGGTTCCCTCCTCATCTAATTTTTCCTAAGCTTTTCATATGGTAGTTTTGATATTGAATGGCCAATATTTTCTCATATAATTGTTTCCCTTTCAACCACTCGGTTTTAAACACTCGTTGTTATGGTTATAATATCCCATTTTTCACAATAAGTTATTATTATTATTTTGTTACTAGGATTAAAGGATACAATTTTCAATTCCATTAATATTTTTTATAGGAAATTAAGGAACACTTGAGAATAGGTTTTTACATGTATTATTTATAAATAAATTTAGTAAATTCTCTCAAAAAGAGCCAAACTTATTATGTATTATCGGTGACAGATTGCAATTAGTAAATTAACACTCTATTAGTTTAGAAAATATATGAAATCTTGAATTTCGGTTTGCGAGTTTTCGGCATCAACAAAACGTAATTCTTAAGAATGTTAATTAACTCAACTATAATCACATACCCATCACAATCAAATACTAATTAAATTAATTGGGCATTACATGCAATTAAACATTATGCTTGGATTACTATGAATTTTAACTTTCTGAATTCTTCTGAATTCCCCCTGATTTCAACCGTCGTAGATAATTTTGTCATGGCCGTAATTTGGTTTTCTTTCTTCTGGCTGCCGATGGGCTGTTATTTGCTAACTGGACATGGTTTGTGTGGGTAATTGGATGTGGTTTTTTTGATAATCCAGCCCATGACTTGATGTCTATTAGTTAAGAGTTTTAAAATTGGATAGATGGGAGCTTCAACCTCCTATTTGAAAATTTGAAGAGTGGCGTTACTTAAGTCCTACTACATTTATTTGTAAATCTTATTAATTGTTTAAATTATTTTTGAAAATTAATTTGTGAACATATTTTAACTATTCCAAAATTGTACTATTGATATGAAAACTTGTACCAATCAGAGAGATCTGATTGACCTCAACGGAATTAGAATCGATATGTGCGTGATTTAAGAAAAATTAGCAATTGAATGTAAAAATGCAGTAAAGTAAATAACACAAACAATTTTTTAAGTGGTTCGGCAAGTTAGAACTTAAGTCTACATCCACGGTTTCTCTTATTTCTTTTAGAGAGCTTACAAGAGAAATATAATATGCCCAGAACAAATTAAAAACAAGTTATGATGAGTTTATATATCACCCATTTACATAATAGAGTTGAGGTAAGATTCAAATACGTAGGATTAGGAAGTTGTATGATCTTCATCTTCCTTAGTTAGAATCTAAGTCAATCTAAATGTCTTCCTTCCAAATTAAACTAATATAAATATCTTCTATCCTAATAAGGAATTATCATCTTCTGATTTCCCACACAACAATAACCCTCCAGTTTTTTGAGTGCGAGTTTGGACTTCAAAAACTATGAGCTTCAGAAATGATGAGCTCAGGAACGAGAAGCTCCAAATGATAGGCTTTGAAAACGAGGTCTAAAACGATGAGCTCTACAACGCGAGCTCTAAAACGATGAGCTCTCAACAACGAGCTCTGAAATGATGAATTCTCAAATGGCGAGCTTTAAAATGATGAGCTCTAAAATGGCAAGCTCTGAAATGATAAGCTCTGAAATGACAAGCTCTAAAACGATGAGCTCTAAATCGATGAGCTCTAAAAAGAAGCTCTAAAATGTGAGCTCCTAAAACAAGCTCTAAAACGGCGAGCTCTAAAATGAAGAGCTATCAACAACAAGCTCTGAAAACGAGCTCTAAAATGATCTCAAAACAAGCTCTAAAATGATGAGCTCTAAAACGACGAGCTCTAAAATGATGAGCTCTGAAACGACAAGCTCTAAAATGAAGAGATCTCAAAATGAGCTCTAAAATGACGAGCTCTAAAACGACGAGTTTTGCACTTTCATTAACGAGTTTGGAACATACCTCAGTATTTTAATTATAACTAGAGTTGTAGACGTTGGATTTGGACGATTCTTGGACCATTGGAAAGCTCACTCAAAGGGCGACAACTCTTATGTTCAACATTGCACCATATTCAAACTGTATCATGCTCAAGCTTGCGCTTTCATTAATGAGTTGTGGCGAGTTCACTCTCTCATTAACGAGTTATGGCAAGTTCACGCTCTCATTAGCGAGTTATGGCTAGTTTGCGCTCTCATTTATGAGTTATGGCGAGTTCATACTTCATTAACTAGTTATGGCAAGTTCACGCTCTTATTAATGAGTTATAGCGAGTTTGGAAAATGCTTTAGTAATTTGACAATAACTTGAGCTGTAGACCTCGGATTTGGACGATTCTCAAACTGTTAGAAAGGTTACTCGAAGATCTACAACTCTTATGTTTATCACTTTGATAGACTCATACTTGATCATGCTCAATACTCCCCATCTGTCAATGACTTCAATTCCAAAGTTGGATTTGGTGACATGGGTTGTAGCCATGGCTAGTTTTTTGCTGTTGGAAGATGGGAAAAAAAAATGCCGGAAAACAAAGAGAGCTCGGAGTGTTCAAGCTCCTCCTTCTAGTGCCAAAATGTTAATGCGAAAACTTGTACCAATAAGAGAGATCCGATTAACCTTGACGGAATTGGAATAGATGTGTACGTGATTTAGTATAAACCAGCAATTGAATAATTGAAGAGCAAAAATGAGTGATGACAAGAGGCAATTTTTAAAGTGGTTCAGTAAGTTTAAATCTTGAGCCTATGTTCACTGTTTCTCTTATTGAATGAGAATTACAAATTATGAATCTTTTCCTAGAATAATTGTCCAACCCCAACAAAAAAAGTTATGATGGGTTTATATAACACTCATTTACATGATAGAGTTGAGGTAAGATTCAAATACATAGGATTAGAAAGTTGCATGATCTTCGGCTTCCTTAGTTGGAATCCAAGTCAATCTAAATATATTCCTTTCAAATTGAGCCAATCTAAATATCTTCTCTCCTAATAGAGATTATCCTCTTCGGATTTCCTGCGCAACATGTACATATTTAATCTTTCTCTCTGTGAATTCAATGTATAATATCAATGTTTTAATAATTGGCCCAGGATGAAACCCGGCAAGATGTCTTGAAACACCAGCCAAACACACGCAATAAAATAAACAGAAAAGTAAATAAAGGACACTTGATTTACCCTGGTTTGTTTCGATTAAGGAACTACGTCCAACATTTGAATATATATATATATATATATATATATATATGTATCACTTTAAAACATCTTATTTCATTGAAATAAAGAGTGGAATAAGTAATTCATGAACAGTATTAATTGTGATATAAAGGTGCTTTTTAGTAATTTTAAAATTAAATTATATATATAACTTTAAAAAATTACTGATGGGGTTTACAAAAGATTTAACGGGCTTAAATAACATTACTCCTCTTAAAGACTACACCTGCACTTACATTATCAGTACAAAAGGGCACACCTAGACCCAAATAAATTAAGGAAAGTAAATTTTAGCCCCACCTAGTTGGTCTTCAACCTCATTTATTTTTTGTAACCTTAATTAAAATTACTAGAAATAACATTATCATTTCTAAATACACTCATACTTTATTTTATGTTTTTGTTTTAATCTTTAACATTGAATCTTACATAAACCTTAACCCTAAATTTTAATTATGTAATCCTAAATTTTCATAATTATTTAAACCTTTTGTTTTGTTTCAAAAATTTGTTTGTTTGATAAAAATATAATACTAAAACTATGGAAAAATAATGGGATTAGAAAATAAGTTGAAATTAGAAAATCGGGGAAAAAAACATATAAAGAAAAACCCTAACTAAGTTTGATTTGGGAAAAATAGTGTTAAAAAAAAAAAAATCCCTAAATTAAGTTTTAAATTGAAGAAAATAAACCTAATTAAGCT